ACTCTCCCCACTCAAGTGGTCGTTATTTGCTCTTTACATGAAGACTTCTAGCAAACTTTTAGCAGTAGGAGGGCAGCGTGTGCATTATGCCTCAGCAATTGGATAGGAAGCATCGTTTGCATATTATTTTTTTTTAGTTGGCGTTTTGGTTTCATTTTCTTGGGGAAAAAATTAGTTGGTTAGTTTGTTAGTTCACCAGCGGCTCCTTGGTTTCTTAAAGATTTTTCATAGTTTTGATCAATCGGTATAAGGACTTTGTGTCTTCAAATTCTTTCAAAAGTCTTACTGGTGATTAATAAATTGGACTGTGTCTTGCTGCTGTGTGATCTTGTGTATCAGCCATACAACTAAAAGACCAAATGATACTGCACTCGGTCCTCTTACCACCATACCAGCTTAAAAACTTTGCCGTCAGTTAAATTACTGGTCATAATAGCTCCTCACTTTCACCTTTCAATGATATTTTCAAAATGATATTTATATTCGTTCTTTTTTTTTTTTTGTAGGGAAAGGTAACGAGTTTAGAGAAGTTTGGAATGTTTGTCTCTTTAACGGACCACATCAAAGGCTTGTGTCGTACACTTCATTTAGCAGATATAAATCTTCAACATCCAGAGAAGAAATTGAAAGAAGGAAAAACTGTGAAATGTAGGGTACGTAAGTGTGAAAGAAACTTTTCATTGGGAAATGTTTCATTCTTTAATTCTGTCATTGATTATAAAGGAGATTATGGTAATTCTATATGTAGTTCACAATTACTATTCTACTACAATGTCATTTTACCAAATGAGGTCATGAGATTGCGCAAAATACGCCATTGTATTCCACTGCAGAACAGGGTTACACTAAACGATCCTGACTTTGAGGATTCACTTTCATTCGATTTTCACGGTAGTATATCGCGCACTCTGAGGATTCTCCTTCATCGATTGTAACGTAAGTATCTCGCGCACTATAAGGATTCTCTTTCATCGATTGTTTCGCTGGTAGATCGCGCACTCTGGGGATTCTCTTTTATCGATTGTAACTTAAGTATATCGCGCTCTCTAAGGAATCTCTTTCATTGATTTTAACGTGAGTATATCGCGCACTCATGATTCTCTTTCATCGATAGTAACGTTAGGAAATCGCGAACTGTTAGGATTCTCTTTCACCGATAGTAACGTTAGTATCTTGCGCACTCTAAGGATTCTCTTTTATCGATTGTAACTTTAGTATCTCACGCACTATAAGGATTCTCTTTCATCGATTGTAACGTTAGTATATCGCGCATTCTGGGGATTCTCTTTCATCGATTGTTGCGTTAGTATATCACGTTAGTATATCGATTGTTTCGTTGGTAAATCGCGCACTCTGAGGATTCTCTTTCATCGATTGTTATTTTAAGTATATCGCGCACTCTGATGATTCTCTTTCATCGATTGTTGCGTTAGTATATCGCGTTCTGTTAAGAATATCTTTCAACAATTGTTACGTTAGTAGATCGCGCACTCAGATGATTCTCTTTCATGGATTGTTATGTTAGTATATCGATTGTTTTGATTTTTTCATCAATAGTAACGTTAGTATCTTGCGCACTCTAAGGATTCTCTTTTATCGATTGTAACTTTAGTATCTCGCGCACTATAAGGATTCTCTTTCATCGATTGTAACGTTAGTATATCGCGCATTCTGAGGATTCTCTTTCATCGATTGTTGCGTTAGTATATCACGTTAGTATATCGATTGTTTCGTTGGTAAATCGCGAACTTTACGGATTCTCTTTTATCGATTGTTCGTTAGTATCTCGCGCGCTATAAGGATTCTCTTTCATCGATTGTTACGTTAGTAGATCGCGCACTCAGATGATTCCTTTTCATGGATTGTTACGTTAGTATATCGCGCACTGTAAGGATTCTCTTTCATTGATTGTAACATTAGTATATCGCGCAATGTAAGGATTCTTTTTCAACGATTATAACGTTGGTATGTCGCGCGACATAAGGATACTCTTTTATCGATTGTAACGTGAGTATATCGCGCACTCTAAGGATTCTCTTTCATTGATTTTAACTTTAGTATCTCGCGCACTATATGATTCTTTTTCATCGATTGTAACGTTAGTATATCGCGCAACATAAGGATTCTCTTTCAACGATTGTAACGTTAGTATGTCGCGCAACAAAAGGCTTCTAATTATCGATTGTAACGTTAATATAGCGTACAACATAGGGATTCTCTTTCAACGATTGTAACGTTAGTACATCGCACGCCGTGAGGATTATCTTTCATCGATTGTTACGTTAGTACCTCGCGCGGTCTAAGGATTCTCTTTCATCGATTGTAGCGTTAGTATATCGCGCGCTCTAAAGATTCTCTTTCATCGATTTTTTACGTTAGTCTCTCGCGCACTCTCAGGATTCTTTTTCATCGATTGTAACGTTAGTATATCGCGCACTGTGAGGATTATCTTTCATCGATTGTTACGTTAGTATGTCGCGCACTCAGTATTCTTTTTCGGGGATTTTTACGTTGGTGTATCGCGTACTGTAATATAGGATTCTCTCTGATCGATTGCTACGTTAGTATATCACACACTCTTAACATTTTTTCCATTGATTGTTAGAATAGTATATCGCACTTTTGCAAAGTTCTCTTTTATTCGATTTTTACGATAGTATCTCGCGCATTCTAAGGATTCTCTTTCATCAATTGTTGTGTTAGTTTGTTGCGCACTCTGAGGATTCTCTTTCATGGAATGTGCCGTTAGTATGTGGCGCACTCCTAGGATTTCTCTCATCGATTGTTATGTTAGTATATAGCTCACTTGAAGGATTCTCTCTCATAGATTGTTACGTTAGGATGTCACGCACTCTTAGGATTTTTCACACCGATTGTTAGTTAGTATATAGTACATTTTAAGGATTCTTTTCCATCGATTGTTACGTGAGTTAATCGCACCCTATAAGGATTCCCTCTCATCTCTTTTTTAATTCAATTGGTTCGTTAGTGTCTCGGCCACTGTAAGGATTCTCTTCCTTTCACTTGTTTTGTTAGTATCGTGTGCACTCTGAGGATTCTCTTCCTTGTAAATATTTTGTTGGTATCTCGCGCACTCTAAGTGTTGTCCTTCTCTCAATTGTTTCGTCAATATCTCGCACATTCTTAGGATTGTCATTCTTTTAATTGTTTCGTCGGTATCTCGCGCACTCAACGGATTCTCTTTCGGTCGAATGTTATGATAATATCTTGCGCAATTTGAGCATTCTTTTTGATTAAGTAATTTCGTCAGTATCTTGTGCATTCTGAGGATTCTCTTATAATCGAATGTTTCGTTTGCGTCTTTCGCATTTTACGGATTTTGTTTCCTTCCATTGCTTCGTTTGTATCTTGTGCACTCTGAGGACTCTTCTTCTTTTGATTAATTCTTTAGGATAAATGCAGTGTAAGGATTCTCTTTCGATTAATTGTTTGTTTAGTTTCTCGCGCAGTCGGAGGATTCCTCTTTCGCGCAATTGTTTTATTAGTATCTCGGGCACTCTGAGGATTCTCTTTCATTGGATTGATTCGTTGGGGTCTCTTGCACTCAGTTACAGACTGTTGTCTTCAACATGTATTTTTAACTAGCACAATTATTTCACTTTAAGGCTGGGGTATTAAGATTTTTTTAAAATTATTTAAAGGTTCTCTCAGTTTGGCCAGATCGACGCCGTTTGCTGCTCACTCACAAGAAGACACTGATAGAGTCATCGCTTCCAATCATCACTGAGTACTCTCAAGCACAGCCTGGAGTCAGTTGTCATGGCTTTGTTGTAGCCATCAAAGACTTTGGCTGCTTTGTATTATTTTACAATAATGTCAAGGGCTTGGTGCCACTACGTGAGCTTGGGTGAGAACAGTGTGTTTAAACATTCAAAACTGAGTGGAAGGTGAAGTTGCCTCGTCATGCGAAGATTCGTTGGCAAAAAAATTGGAAATAAGAGTTGATATGGTGGCCACAGATAAAACCAAGGGAACTGCCTAAAGCGCGGGAAAACGCGGACGGGCAAGTTGTGATTGGTTTTAGATGTGCGGCCCTGCTGATTGGCAAAGGGGATGGGGCGAAATTTTTGGATCAATCAAAGCAGTCCTTCATGACTTTCGATACTCATTTAAACATTGCTGATTGGTTGGTGCGCTGGACCCTGGATCGAAAGGTCTGGGTTCAAGCTTTGACTGGCTCATTGTGTTGTGTCCCTGAGCTAAACACTTTAATACCTAAGTGCCTCTACCTCCCCCCCCCACTCCCCCTTGAAAAGTATAAATGCCCTTTGCTGAACTTTGAAGAAACCTGACACCCCGAGAGCCAACGATTTACTCGGTGATTACCCAGAGGTTTTACGCGCAGTGGACAAGCATCCCATCCAGCGGGTGGAGGGGGGGAGGGGGGGGATACCTCTAGTTACCTTATGCTACAGAAAAAAAATTCTAACCAGTCATGGATTACTTGGCCTTAAAGACTTAACCTTTGGTATCCAATTGTGATTATGAACAGGATTCCGGCCGATACTGATCCTCGCAGTGCATTCTACCTTGGACAAGTCGTGTTATGCCATGTGTTGAGTTGTGAGCCAGACCAGATGAGGTTAAGGCTGTCGTTGCAGGTATGTTTGCTAATTATCACAAACTCCGGCCTTGCTTTCTACAACTGTTGTAAGTGATGGGGGGTTAATCCTCGTTAAACAGACTCGCGTCAGTTAGACACCCTCTCGGGCAAGGTAAATAACTCTTACTTTTCCTCTCCCTACTGTGGAGTACATGAACAGCACGGGTGGATGCTACGAAATTGTCAGGTGGAACCTTGTTAAATCCTGAAGTTAACTGCAATTTTAGGATCGGAAAGCTCCGCCCCATTGTAAATTCGCCCCCTTTTGCATGTACTTCTCCCGCATGATGAAGAGTTCCCCCCATTTTTATCAGTGCACCCCAAATCTTGTAACTCGTTTTAAGTTAAAACATGTCTTTTCTGACGGAACAATCCAGCGTTTGACACAAGGCAGAACATTTGCATGTAAATCAATATTCTTTACATACTTTCAGAAAAGTTCCAGGCCTGGCCCTGCTTTGGAAAATGTCAACATTACAACATCCGTAAGTAAATAACTTAAACGTTTTAGCACTTGAGATTTTTCTTATCTTATTTTGTGGTTGCGTCCGTCGCTACACAGTTCTGGGATATTTTGTAAGTAACAACAGGACAGTAAAGCGCAGTGACTTGTTATACCTTTGTGACAATGCATGATCCATCGGTTGAAAAAATATTTTGCTTCTCGATATTGTTTAGTCAACGTATGAAAATAACTTGTGCAAATGCTCCTTAGTTTCACCACTCGAAAGTGTCGAAAGTTAACTTGAAATTTGACTCGAAATTTGATTTTGAACAATTTACATGTCTGGGAGGGTTTTGACTTTTTTCAGTCAAGCTATGAGGATCCAGTTTCGATGGACTATCCTTTCACGGAAACTGTTAATCATTCTTTTAAGGGCAATTTTCAGTGAGGTGTCCAAAGTTTCCATGGACTGCAGTGGTTTAATTTAAGTTCGTTCTTTGATTGGTCGAGAAAACTCGCATTTATCTCCCAATCAGTTGTATAAAACTTAGATCATTGGCGACGTTGTTGTTAGTATTTACCGCAAGTTCAGATAACATACTTGTTTTTGTTTTGATTTGTATCGAGTTCACAATGCTTCCTTGTGATATTTGTCTTCGTTCTGGTTTGCTATTGTGATAACTGAAGTTTCAGTTTCAAACGATCAGCCCAAATTTGCTCTATCATTTTCATTGGTTTTGTAGTTTTTTTGCACTGTTTATTGTTCTAATCCGTATAATATTCTCTTGCTTGCCTCCTGTACAGTTGTTAGAAGCTGATGTAGTGAACAGCAGCGAGGAAGGGCTGGATGTTGCACTTCTTCCTAGTGGTGCACCAGCATTTCTTCCAGTTCCGCATTTATCAGATCATGTCAGCAACTGCAAGGCTCTCCTCTCTGTCTACAAACCCTCAACAAGATTGACCAATGTTTTTTGTTATGGCAGGAATAAGAGGCAGGAAATTGTATCCTAACTCATAACACTATGAAATGCGAGTTTGAAATAGATTTTCGCAGTAATGAACACTGCTTAAGCAATAGTGAAAATAAGGCCTGAAATTAAGGTTTTAGGGTTTAGATTCCAAAGATGAAGTAAACCCTCTAACTCAGGAGTGACTGGCCAAGTGATAAGAATAACAAAAATGTTAACTAGGGGATTATCACTTGATCCAACAACAAATTCTCAGGAAAAAAATTTTTTATAGGAATATATGGCAGACAGTACGAAGAATTGACATTGAGATATTTGGAGTGAAAGGGTTTATCTTTCGAACTTTAGACGCTGCCCTGTTCTATCTTGGTGATAAGGAGTTGTACAAAATGGATGTTCTTGAGTTAAAAAAAGGGGTTGGCCATTGTAGCGGTTGTTCGTGAACTGCTCGTTGCGGTTTTCCCCTTACTCGTCTACAGTCGTCTTAAAAGCCGGGCAACATACGCGAGCAAGGACCGATGGGTTAGTGCCACGCTGGTGTTGACTGGGGACTCGTCACAGTTTTGCCTGTGCGACCAGGGGACCCTTTTGTTCTGATAGTTTCTGGTCCTTTAATTTTTTTCTTTTTTGACTTAGTAACATTTATGAAAGAAATTCAAACGATGAAAATGTCATGAAACGAAACAGAGTAAACTGGTTGACCCGCCTTACTATTCCTTAGATTTAAATCGTAATACATTGACTTGTAGCCATTCCCCTGCGTTATATGAATCTCTCAACTTTCAGTACATGTGATGAATAATGTAAATGTGCTGTGTATGATGGTACTTGGTGCATGTTAACAGTCCTAAGTGCGCTTAAAGTCAACTTAAGGATTACTTTCAGTTCCTTAACCACACCTTAACGTAGACTGTTTCGTTGAAACCATCTCTTGTAAAAGCTGCATCTGAGGAAAGACTTATTACCAGCTTTAACGACGTCGAAGTAAGTACAGTGTTGCTACAGTACATCCAATTCAACTAGGGAGGGGTCAGAGATAAAATAACGTGGTTGTGAAAGCGGTTGTGGGGTATTATTTACTAATATCATTGTTTTTATCTTAGGTGGGAATGATCTTACCTGGTTTTATCAAAAAAGTGATGAGTTATGGAGTGTTCGTTGAGTTTTCAACGGGAATTTTTGGGCTTGCTCCAAACTCGGTAAGTACCCTTGCCGTTCTTCGTAAAACAATCGTCGCTCTTTGCTGAGAGACATTACACATCAGGAAAAACAAGACGTAGATAGGGACTGAATTATTACACTAAACTCATAACAAAGCCTGCTTTTTGTTGACAGGAAGCTCTCTTGAATGAGCTGCGACAGGCTGCGACAGGCTGCGACAGGCTGAGAACGCTTAGCGATAGATCAAAAAGCTAAGCCTGTTTAACTGAAACTGTCGTTGTATTTTCCTCTCTCTACCCCACAGTCACCGAGTATGGGCTGCAAGATACACCCTTTCGTATCAATGTCTTCACTTACCCTTGCCCTTTCTCCTCATCCTTTTAAGGTTAAACGCAGGTTTCCTTTATAATGAATAATACCCAATTATTACCTGGGGAGAGAATTGTCCTTCAAGAGGGCAGCGTCGTTTCCTAATTGCAACAAAACTGACCCTAGTCAGCACTTAACCCTTTAACCCCTAAGAGTGATTAACATCTAATTTCTCCTAACAATATCACCCTCAAAATTACACATAAAGGTTACAAGAAAAGAGGTAATAATCACCAATGATAGAAGCTCTAGATTGTTAAACAAATTCTCCTTGTCAGCACCTTGGGAAATGTATAGAGAGCAGTATGGAGAATATGCATACTGATGTTGGGATGTAAGGGGTTAGAACGTAGCAGATGCCTTCTGATTCATTTACCGTATGGTTGCTCTCACCTTTGTTATTTCAATCTGCAAATTTGAATGTTTATGGTTTTTTTTTTTTTTTCAGTTTCTTGCTGATCATTTTGTGTCAGAACCCGCTTTTCACTTTCCTACTGGACGGACAGTTATGGCAAAGGTTTGCTTCATTCGAATCAGCTTATTTTGTTTAGATCATTACTTCTAATTTAACTGATGTTGTTCAGGATCAAATCACGGCATTATATTAACAACAACTGACTGCTGAAGGTTTACTTTTTCGGGCAGAGGTAAAATGTAAAGCTAAGTAAGAGTCTGTAGATAGAGACTAGGATAGAGCAGTTTTCAGGGCTCTTTTTAACACACGCCCTTTGTCCTCTCTTTCTGCATTTTAGGTCACTGAAATTGATGAAGAAAGGCAGAGATTTCTTGTTAGCCTCAAAATGTCCGACTGTTGCCCTGAAATTATCGTTGAAGGGAGTTCTGATCCTGCTGTAGAGTTGTTGGAAAATTATCTCTTTGAGAGACAGACGATTGTTCAACAGTTAGCATCCAGTTCAGGTGTGTATGGTAAGGGTGACAAGTTTTAAACAAATGTTGATCACTTCCTGTGTTCACCAATAAGTACGCCATGACTTCCACCATTCATTCGTAAATTGTAATCATAACTACTGTGGTTCTGTTGTTTACAGAGGACATGCAGGCTCTGTTTTCACTTGGTCCAGGATCCTGTGTTGAGGCAAAGGTGAGGAAATTGAAGGACTTGTAATTTGTAATGTTGTTTTTTTAGTGAAGCATTATTCATGCTCAATGTTGAAGTTAAGTTGTACTGATGATCAAATGATTCGAGATCATTTCGGAGCAAATAAGCACTCATACATTTTTCAACGACCTGAAACTTCCTCGAGCTCGAATTCATATTTTTAAATGTTCATTCAATGTGACATTTCTGCGCTCATTTTCAATTTTATGCTCTTTTTGACATTTATTGACGTACTTAACAGCCGACGAGGATGCTGAAAGTTTTGCATGTATTTTATAAACTTCGGAATACCATTTTCATCGTTGAAAATACCAATTTTCCAGCCCCAGTCAAGAAATGTTTATAAAGAGCTTCAATTGGGGTTCATACTTTCGATCATGAAATTGAGTTACTAGGCACTCCAGGTAGTATTGTGATAAAGTTTATACTTCTGCGTTATTTCTGTGTTCAGGTTCTTAGTGTGAAATTCCGAGGCATCCTTTTACAGCTTGCCAACGGCGTTCAGGGTTTTACTCCCCACCAGCTTGCCAAAGGTATATTTACTAGGAATTTTGTTGCTGAGTATTATCATGTTCCACGTATACATTCGGAGAGACTGTGTAGCTGATAGTTTTTGGAAAATCCGCGAGAGAAATAGGACGTAGAAAATTCACCTCTCTACCCGCACGTCCTTCTGCTTCATTTACTGCTTTGCTACCTTAATTTTGGATGAAAACACTTTCAAAACCACTTGCCACGCAGGCAGACAGTTTGACGAGGAAGTCCTCTTTACATAATCGTGTCACAATTCCTTTTGAAACTTGTGGAGCATTTATATAGAAAAACTCTCAAAGTTAAGCAATATCGTTTGCTTCTCAAGTTGTAAAGCTTTGAAAAAGATATATTACATGACTTTGTAGAGTATTTTCCACACCCTAATGTTTTTGTTTGTTCTTTTAAGGAGTAAGCTGTGAGCCAGGCGAAGTTGTGTTCGGCTGTGTTTTGGACTGGGATTTCGATAAGAAATGTGTGATTGTCTCACTAAATCCAGAACTAGTAGCTGAAAGGAAGGCCGTGGAGACTCAAAAAGAAAAACAAAAAAGGGTAAACTTCACATATTCTACGAGGTGACTGGTTTGCAGCACCATGAAGATAATGCTTCACGTCACCCGCCTTTTCTTCTCAACCAATCAATCAATCAACCGCGACTTGGTCAATTGTGTTTTCCGCGCTCGAAGCAGTTTGCGTGTTCTTACTTTGAGTTCTCTTGGGCTGCCTGTGATATCATCCGTACGTCTGATTGGCTGTTGTGATAAGTTTAGTTTTGGTTTGAGAGAACTCAGTCAAAATGCACTTTTTTTGCCAAATTCTCATAACCATTTTCGGGGAAAATTTATAGCAGCACGAAGGGAGGATTGCTGATCAGATCTTGTGAGTTGGAAAAATCTCTTATTAAGATGCCATTTCGTAAAGCATTCTTCTAACTTTGTTTATTTAATGCTCTAAGCAATTGTCTCTTGGAGGATTTAACAATTTATTTAGGTTGGGAAAGACACCAGCATGTTGGGCTTTTGTGTTTTTTGCAGCTGAAACATGGACGCATTTTAAAGGCTTGTGTTCAACTAATCAAGGACAACTACATTGTGGTGACGATTCCTCAACACAATTACCAGCTGGCGTATGCACCTACTAAAATGGTGAGGCTAGATTATTTGTCGTTCTACTCAGAACCAGTTCAAAGTGATTTCTTTTCTTGTGGCTCGTTTGTTGAAAGTCTCGTTAACTTTACAGTCCCCAGGCCATATTTCATTCTCTAAAGCTGAGGAATATTTGTGCGGATCTCAGCCCAACCACCAGTCCACTTTGTTTCGTTTCTAATCGTATATGTGGTCTGAATTCCCAAAATATTATTATCTCTTTTTTGTTTGTGAAACGGCAGAAAAAATAGAAAAAGATGATATGATAATAAACAGCTTTTCTTGAATATGTAACTATCGGGACTTTTGATAAACTTGCCCCCCCCCTCCCCCCTTGTTTCGTAAAACAAAGGCAAGTTCATGAATATATCTGACCTTGTGAAAACTGGGTAGGTTACGGTGTTATACATTTAAGTGACGGATTAAACCTTTACACCCAAACATCAATATGCAAATTTTTCATACTGTTCTCCATACATTTCCTTAGATGCTGACAAGGAGAATTTGTTTAACAATCTAGAGCTTCTTCTATTGGTTGTCCTTTCCATCGTTATTCTCACGACCTTAACGTGTGATGCTAGTGACTCTTAGTGGTTAAAGAGTTAAAAGAAGGCTTAAGTTTAATCATAGTTTTGTTTGAATTTTTGCGTTGTAGCATTTGAACGACATCAGAGATGCATCAAAGCGATTTGCTGTGGGACAAGAATATTCTTCAATAGTACAAAGGTAAGGGATAGGGCGCGCTCTACCACAGTTCTTTCTCTCTGTGAAGTGACGTGATCTAGGCCCAGTTGTTCATGGGGCAGATAACGGTATCCAGCGGATAAGTGTTGACGAAACGTACTGCGCTGTCTACCGGATAAATATTTATCCAGTTGATATTGTTATCAGCCCTTTGAACAACCGGGACCTAAACTTTACCTCAGTTTTGTGTCCTTTTTTACTTTGATCATGATATGCCAGTTTTCCTCCGCTTAGTTTCAAGTTTTTCAAAACTGATTTCAATGGGCAGCAGTGCATTTATTAGTTGGATGTGCCTTTTTTCCTTACAGAGGCGTCGGCTGAAAATTCATGAAATAAGTCCAGGGGAATAAAATTATACATGACCATTAAGAGGTCACCCGATGTGACACTTTGCCAAAATCCGGACAAAAAAAAAATATTCGAAACTGGAAATTGCAATGATTAGAAATTCTAACAAGTGTCACAATACCTTATCTTCCTGTTTTATAAAATGTGAAAATTCTAACCTGCGAGCAGGTGTACACCAAGTGCCCTTGTTGGGTGCCTCAAGTTTTTCGCGGCGCACAGGCAGCGTATAAGATGCACTGTCTGGTTTTCAGAAGTGCTATTTAAGTCAGTTGAAGCCTTCACAAGTAAAATAAAATTTCGACACAACTGTTAAAATATAACTTTGTTTGATTGTTTGTTGACTTGTTTCCGCTTAGACCAGTCAAGGCGAACGACAGCCTTCTACCTCTAGTGATCCTTCAAGAAAAACGAATTGGAAAGGAAAATGTCGTGCCTGGTGCTATTGCCACAGCGCAGTGAGTGATAATATGTTACTTTTTTATAAGAAGCGTAAATTTGTCCTTAGTTAGTTAAGAAATACGGTGTTTCGCATATCATTCACGTCTTATCTCTTTATTCGGTCGGTCAGTAAGCTAAGGAATGCAAACACTAAACTACGCGCAGTCCCCCCTTTTCGGCGCAGTCAGTCGCGTGAATCAAAAAACTTCATCGAAAAAAAAATTGATGTGAGCGCGGAGCGCAGACCTCAGGGAGCGGGGTGCACCAAGTTCTACGCGTCGCGCTCACATCTACAAAGATTTTTTAACTCGCGCGAAGGACTTTGCTGTAAAGGAAGGACATGTACGAAAGATGAAAACTTACTTCTTTGTTGGTAGACTCATTGTTGGGCGATTTTCCCAATGCGTCGCCAAAGTACGGTAACGATTTTTCGGCTGTCATTTAAACCCGTAGTAAACTGTTATCTTATTTTAGGGTGAAGTCAGTTAAGGACCTTCAAATGAATGTGAATTTGTGTAATGGGAAATTTCATGGAAGAGTGCATGTCACAAAAATTTGGGATGAGGTTGTACAGGTAAGAAAACGTATTGGTTTTCTTCAGCAATTAACCTTTTGAAATAGTTTAACTTACCTTACAATACATTGAATAATTTGCAAATTGGTGTCGGGGTGTTAAGGTTTAACCCTTTAACACCTTAGAGTGACAAGCATATAGTTTCTCCTCACAATATCACCCCTTAATCATCCATTAAGGTTATGAGAATAAAGGAAATGATCGCCAACGAAAGAAGCTCTTGATTGTTAAACAAATTCTCCTTTTCAGCACCTTAGGAAATGTATAAAGAGCAGTATGGAGAATGTGCATACTGATGTTGGGGTGTAAAAGATTAATTAATTACTGTATGTTTACTTTAAAGGGAGAGTCGCCACTGAAGGGCTTCCACAATGGTGATAAAATTCAAGTCAAGATTCTTGGATTTCGCGATGTGAAGACGCACAAGTAAATTCTAAGTTTATGATCTTTGATATGATGTCAATTTTTCGGGCTTTGTCAAACTCCAAGTTTTTTTCTGGAAGGTGTTGACTGGTGATAAAACAGTGATGTAAAGCTTTCTGTCAAGAGGTCTCATAATTGAATGATAGAGCGCTTTTTAAACGAGTGTCTTTAAACCAAAAGCAAATTAATCGCCATGGGTAACCAGAACGAAGGAAAATATCAGGAAGAATCAATGAAAACTCGAATTGAGTAAACAGCTTTCAAGAAAACGCTTTCAGGAAAACGTGGCTAACCACGTTTATGGTTACAAGTTACGGTTGGTTGAAACTTTTCGTTAGATTGGATGGGAAAGTGCGTTTGTATCTGATTGGTTGAGAAAGCAGCGTGCGTTTCTCAGATCAATCAAAGAGCGTACCGCTGCGAAACCAATGCAATACCAGTTTATTTTGGACCCTCATTGTCAATTGAAAACTGATCCACACGTCAGTGGTTTATGATAAACGGTCTGCCTGTTTCAATCCTGTGCGTGGCAAAATTTTGGTTGAAGAAATAATTTTATGTCTTTCAAATTGAGGGCGACAATCTTTGAAAAGATTCTATGTAGGTTTTGGTACTGGATATTCATTTTACGCAATATTATTTATTGTTTTAGGTACTTACCAGTAACGCACACCAATTTCACTAAATCTGTAGCCGAGCTGACAATGAAACCCAGGTAACCTAGCATAGTGTACTGAATATTTCGTGGTCGTTCTCTATGTAAAATGTTTTTTTTTTTTTACATTAAATAAGTAGATGTTATTTAGTCTTGCTGTTTTAGAATTTACGATTTTCTTAAACGTCGCCTCATGCTTCGTTTTAAAAATGTGAAAACCCCATTTTTGGAAAAGAGTTAGTCGATCGATATATGATATATAATACATGATGACTTGAATTTCATGCTCACTGGTCAGAGAGCCAAGCAAGCGCCGCCATGCAATTGAAATCGGGGAAACCGAGAACAAATCAGCTTATATTCGTTTCCAGTTTTTCTCCTTCTTCCGCCCTCGGAAGAAAGGAGAGAGAGAGAGAGAGAGAGAGAGCTTGTTTCCCTCACTCTCGCCATGCTGACGGGTAGGAGAAGAGAGATCCTGGTAAAGAGAATGTTAGACTGGTGCTTAAAGCACACGGACACGGTTGCAGTTTTTTTTTTTTTTGTGACATTACCTTAGATTAATTTACGTTTCGTCATTAATCTTTGTCTTGTCGCTGCCCCCACTTTTGATAGTGAGTTATTAGAAGTCAGCAGTGATCAGCAGAGTGCTTCAAATGGAAATGCTGAAGGGAGCGGAGCTGACAAGAAACTTGTGGACTACCAAGTTGGGGAAGAAGTAAATTGCTATGTGAAGTCGGTACGTGACAATATAATTATCATAGGCAGTGAAGATAGCTTTAACTACTGTATCTCTTTAGTCATTACTTCTGTACTCAGGATACACGCGGATGGGACGCGTGTATCCTGAGAACTTCGTATTTGAGTAATTCCAATTAAATGCGGAATTAATGTAGGATTACTTTTGTTTTGCCTTACTTCGCCATACGATTGGTCCAAAAAAAACACGCACCACTTTTTCCACCAATTAGATCCAAAACCAATCGCGACCCATCTCACGCCCTTTCCCGCGCATTAAATAGTTTTTTGTTTGCTTTTCAGTTCTCACAGGCTCCATGTGACATTTTCCTCTGCTCTGATAGACTGTTGTAATTATTTTGGTTTGGGTTTTGCGATACTCGTCCTAAGAGTGAAATGATTTTATAATGGCATATTCATAGGTTGCTTCTGTTGATACTTTTTGTTGATCGATAGGCCACAGATTATTGCGTGTGGATGATGTTGAGTCCAGCTGTAAACGGGAGAGTAGCGCTTCTACACGCCTCGTCTGACTTGGAGGTAAGTGCTAGGTACTCGCAAATACGCTGTCCTAAACTATGAGCGATTAACTTGTTGACTCTTCATAACCGTAGCTTCTGTTAAATGTCATTGTGCTAGTTAATTCATTTGCTACGCTTTTAGGTGTTGAAGTCCCTTAAAACTCATTTCAAGCCTGGAGATGGATACAGATGTGTGGTGTTGAGCGTGGATGAAGAAAAAAAATTGCTGGACCTTTCAATCAATGGTGAGAACTTTTCAGTCATAAGTCGTCTCCGAGTTAGATGAAACCAGAATCTGGGAGCGCAACGGGGTTTGCTTGATGATGGAACATTCGAGAGCCATAAAACAATACTGCAACAACGATGAAGTCAGTTTGGATGTTGATCGCATCAACATTAACAGCGATCAACATCCAAAGTGACTCCATCGTGAGACAAACGAATAAAGTTCATCTCCTATCTTACACCAAGATGAACAATAAACACATATTCTATTACAATACTGCAACAATTTGCTTTTGCAAATAGTGATCATGTTTGGCCGTGCCCATATTATTGCCAATGAAAATTTTGTAGCCCGCCAAATTTTTCTTTGGCTTTTTTTTTTCCCGTCACTTAGTATAGGAACCATCACTCAAATTTATCATAGGGGAGAAATTCAACGGTTCAAACTTAATCATTGTACTTCTTTAGTCAAAGCTGGATCTAAAATCGAGGTCACCCAAGTGCTAGCAGGCCAAGTTGCTAAGATTTTTCCCGACCAAGGACTCCTCGTCCGGCTTCCCATGTACAAATATGGTGTGGTCGGTCTCACAGACCTCAGTGACAATTATGAGGAAAATCCTTTGGAAAGCTTTACAACCATGCAGCTTGTTAGGTAAGCCAATGCCTTTTTCTATCATTACACGCTTGAAATTGGTGGTTTTCGAGCTAAAAAACTCACATGCGTTCGGTGAAGTTAAGATGGCTTAGCGTTTACGTTTTTGACACTAACTCTCTGTTGGGTCGATATTTTTCTCAATCCTTTGTTGCGTTCCTTAAGAACGATATTTTGTAAAAAGAAATATCCGCTAATATGCAGGTAGACAAGCAATTTTTTGGGGAGGGGGAGGGAAAGAAGCGTTTTTTTCTGGGGGTAGGGGATTGGGACGTCCAGGAAGAGAGAATTTATATGTAATGTAGTCAAATAGGCTTTACATCAGTGATCAATACTTGCCTCAATATATAGGTGTTTTGTCCTGTCAACGAAAAGCAAAGACGAATTCGATCTGTCACTTAGACCTTCAAGGTGAGAACAAACACGTGTCTTGTCACAAGTAAACATATTCTGCCGATTTGTTTCACTGAATAGATATAGTCACTATCCAAGGGTTGCATTTTGGTGTTGTTTTGTGGAGTCTGCGATCTAATGAAATGGTTTGGAATCGTTCGGAGACTCTATTCATGCTAAAGCAATAAATAGAAACTGGTCTAGAGAAATATTTTCCCCGTAACCCCTTATAACTTGAGCTCTATGAATCTAGTTTTTAATCAAACGAATTCCCCTGGTAAGTATTTTTCTTTCTCCTCTTTAACTTTTCTACTTTTACCCGTCATTGTATTGATATTGCGGGGAGAACTCACTTATTGTTTACTCCGAAAGTAAAAGAGGTAAATTATTCAGATCCACTGGAACTTTTAACTGAATAGCTATGTTTTTTTTTCTTTTCTTATTGGGTGCTAGGACACAAGCAGTGGCAACAATAAACGAGGAAGGTAACTGAATTCTTACTGAGTGTATCTTTTTTTTCGTTATTTGTCGGAAGAATTTCAATTTTACATTATCAAAGGTATTTCCAGAGCTCTATTTTTAGTCCTAATTTGCCATGTCCGAAAGTATCTTTCATTGATAATCCAACAACACTGTAATTAAGAAATATACGGCTTGTTCCATCTGATTTGTTTTTCTGGGTTCTCTGTACAGTTGCAAATACTAACGAGGAGGATCGCGAGATCAACAGCATAAGTGACCTAAAAGAAGGGGACATCATCCGGGGCTTTGTTAAGAGTTGTTCTGATGTGGGTGTCTTTGTCAGGTAATATATCATATATATACTAATTGCTTGAGTGGGAAGGCCGCACGAGAAAATATTTGGCTCGTGGTCATGACGTACGGCCGAGTGCAAAAGAGAATGTTCACTGCATGTGTGCGAGGTTCCAAAGTAATAATCGATCAAAAGAGAATTCTAATAGAGTGTGAGGTACTAACGAAACAATCGATCAGTTGAGAATGATAACAGTGCGCGAGATAGTAACGTAACAATCAAACAGAAGAGAATTCTAATAGTGCACGAGATGCCAACAAAAATATCTCTTGCTAACGAAAAAATCGATCGAAAGCGAGTCCTTTCAGGGTGCAAGATACTAGCATAACAATCAATCAAAAGAGAATCGTAATAGTTCACGAGTTACTAGCGTAACAATCGATCAGAAGAGAATCCTAACTGTGCACGAGATACTGGTGTGAGAATCGATATAAAGAGAACCCTAACTATGCGCAAGATACCAGTGTAACAATCCATAAAAGATAATCTTAACCGTGAGCGAGATACTTGTGTAACAATTGATCAAAGAGAATCTTAATCGTGAGCGTGATACTAGCGTAATAATCGATCCATAGAGAATCCTATCCATGCACGAGATACTAGCGTAAAAATCGATCAAAAAGAATTCCAAAAGTGTGCAAGATACTAGCGTAACAATCGATGAAGAGAAAATGGTAATGGTGCACGAGATTCTAACAACAATCATCAAAAGAGAATTCTAATTGTGCGCGAGATACTAGCATAACAATCGATCTGGCCCCGGTTGTTCGAAGATCGGATATCGCTATTCACCGGATAAATCTCTATCCGGTGAATAACACTATACGTTTTGCTATTACTTATCTGCTGGATAGCGATTTATCCGTTGGATAGTGTTATCCGCCCTTTACACAACTGGGCTCTGGAGAGAATGCTAATCGTGCACGAGATACTAGTGTAATAATCGAACGAGAGAGAATTCTAATAATGCGCGAGATACTAGCGTACAAATCGATCAGAAGACGATCCAAACCGTGCGCTAAATACTCGTGTAAAGCCCCGTTCGAATGGTCATAATAGTAGATTACAATCGATGATAGTTTCAGCTATCATTCACTATCACTGACTATCATGTTCGCGTTCAAACAGTTTATGATAGTTGACAAAATCACGCAATGAGATCGCGTAATTGTAAACAAGTATTGCGCGCGCTGAGGTTGGTGGCATTTCGTCGGCAAGTTTCGAGTTGAAGATACTGAAGCCTACCAGGAGATGATTAGAATGAATTAAAAAGACATTACGCGAAATTTTGACGGCTATTTTAGTCATTTTACCGTTTGCCGTTTCGGTTTGAGCCTGTTTTTGGAAATACTGCTGACCGAAAAACTATCATTCACTATTATCCGCTCGTTCAAACGACAAAAACTATCATCAACTATCTTGTGGAATTTGGACATGTCCAAACTACATGGTACTTGATGATATCCAATGATAGTCGATGACAGTGTATGATAGTACTAGTTCCTGTTCAAATGCGCGTGATGGTTGAAAGTATCATCCACTATCGTGACCGTTTAAACGAGGCTTAACAATCCATCAAAGAAAATCTTAATAGTACGCAAGGTA